TGTGGCCCCTGGACTCTATACAGATCTCTATACCACCCCTCCCCCAGAGCTTTCAAACCATCTCTTGGGGGGCTGTGGATTCTCAATCCTTCTCCTTTTAATGGTTTAATGGCTTCTCTTAAGAGCCCTTACTAGTCAACTGAAGTCAGAATGCAAGATGACATTTATTTTATGCTGACAGTGAAATTGGGCATTATGGTGAAATTTGCACCATTTCATTACTCCTCAGTACCTTGTTCCTGTCTAGTTTAGATAAAAGCTCCAGGTCAGTCATGTCTGACACGCCACCGTGAAGAATCAGGACTTTCTCATCAATCAGAGTGGCCAGTGGAAGCCAACAGAAAACATCTTGCAGTATTTTTAATATTTTCTTGCCATGTTTCTGAAAAATGATATGAACAAGATATTAAGTTTCAAATAACTCAGCAACTTTCCTGAATGAATAGAAACTTTTGCTTTTAAAGGCAGCACACCTTATATTTATGCATCACTTCCTTGGTGAAACCATATCTAGATTTAGAAGAAAAATAGATATCAAATTTAGTAACAATAGTTATGACTGCATTTTTAAAAAAATGCATATTCTACATACATGTACTTAGTTATATAGAAAAGAGATTAATCACCAAAATGTTCACAATTATAACATTATCTCTGGAGAGACAAATTATGGGATATTTTAATTTTCTTCCTTTTGCTTATCTGTATTTCTAACCTTTTCTATAGTGAAGCTTTATTGTTTATATGATAAAGAGAATGAATGTGTGAAAAAAAATTTAATGGTTTTATTCAAATTTAATAATAGGATAATTATAAAAATTTTAAAAACCTTTAAAAATGTTATATATGCTGTACTCTATAAAACTGGAAAACTACTTTTAAAAGGAATCTAAAAAATAAGCTCTGACAAATTAACTTTTTACAATTGCAACAAGTAAATATCAAATACCCAAGCATATTTTGGTTTGTACCGTAAGTTCACCATGTGGTCCTCATGGTTTCCTCGGTTAAGATGGAACTCTTTGGGGTAAACCAGCAGGAAGGCAAAAAGAATCATCAGGATCTCTACTGAATCCTTGCCTCGATCCACAAAGTCACCATTGAACACATAGGCCCTTTCTGGTGACGGGAGGCCATTCTTCCCAACAAAGAGACAAGTCCAAGAAGAGGCGATAAAGGGAGACAGTAGGAGATCAGGTTAAGCTGATGTGCACTTAACAGTTACATCAGATCTAACACGAATTCTGAGCTTGCTGGCTCTCCTCCACATGTGAAATGGCAGTAAAAGGTGGAAATATTTTAATTGGTCTTATGTTTCCTTTCCAGCCAGTCTGAGGTTAAGACATGCTCATCAAAATAAATGCTTTATGCAAAGCCAGAGTGTTTCCATGTGCAAAGGGCACTGAGCTTGTGATCCAAAGGCCAGTTTTAAGTTTCTGGCTGCACTATCTTTAATCAGCAATAACAACCGCCATAGATTCCTCAGGAATAAACAAGACAATACATGGCAAAATGCTTTGGGAAATGCAGTGTATATAAAAAGTTATATTACATTGACTTTATATATGTTGTATATTCCTATATGTTGTTACATGCTCTATGTTTTATAACTAAAAATGGATATGAAGATAACTTTCCATTGCTTTGATAATAAATAATTTATTTGGAAAATAAAATAAATTACTAAATAAGGATTCTTTCTCTATTAACCTCAAATTTTGTATTATTTAAACAGTTTACAAAAATATACTAGAATATAATGCAATGCTGGCTTTTATATTATATATTTGGTACTATGTATTTTAATATTTTATGTATGTATAAATATACTATGTATATACAATATTTTTTAAATCCAAGCAATATTTAAGCATTTGTTTAATTGATACTGTATTCAATCTTCTAAATTAAACCTCAGAGCAAGACAGGAACTTAAACTGAATATTCATACCTTATAAAATATAAATATTAAGTCATCCAACTGTCCATGTAAATCTCCTAACAAAGACAGAAAAAGAATATCAGTTTTGATTGGCCCTTACCATTGTTTCTCATTTTTACTATAAAAAGGAAAATACCCAGAAAAAACTGACAAAGTTAAAAAAAAACATATTATTACTCATTTTTCCATATGTAAGATAGGGATAAATATTAATTTCTCTTGTTGCAGGGCTAGTTAATATTGAAAGCAGAAAGCACAGTATTTTTCCTCATGTTTATCATAAATAGTAAATAACCTATATTCTTCCTGATGTAAAGATGGGGCAGAATAATGCAGGGTTGCAAACCTAGATGAGAATGGGAGGGGTTTTGCCCCACCTAATGTAGGAAGCAGGGACTCACTTAGAGGCCTGTCTTAGAGGATTTTTCAAGAGAAGTTGGAAACCTGGATTTTAATATGACATCCTTCAATTTTCAAACATTGGAAACTAATTTAAAAAATTTAAGACCATTTTAGAGCAAATAAGACCTATCTGCAGGCTGCATATGGCCCAGAAGTGCCAGTTACAATCCCTGTTGTACTTAGTCTGCCTCCTCTAATATAAAGTATGGGGTGTCAATCTATAATGGATGTTAAAACATCACTGAAAACATAAGGAGATGGAGAAAACATCATTAACAGGATTTCTCCCTGGGAGAATATGTGTGATGGGAGGAATAATTCACTAGGCATTGGGGCTGACTTCAATAACAATACATAAACTGTCTTCTAACAAGGAAGGTCTGACTGTTAGCAGAGATTTTGTTCTGAATGGAGAACATGAGTTTGGGGTCAAATATAAATTGCTTAGGAAAATGAAGCAGAGGCTGGGCACTCTCATCCCACAGTTCTCCTTGACGATACCACCTCTCCTTTAAGTGACTGTGGAGCAAATACATAAATACTATCAGTGTGAAGCACTGAACTTGGCCTGCCCACATTGCCATTGCATTTCCCTCCAGTCCCCAACTGCCACCACCCCAGTCCTTCCCTTCCTCCTCCTTATCACAGGCAGTTTTCTTGTTTGAATGGGTCTAGCATGTTAAGCCATTTCAGCTCTTACCACACACTGTGATCTCCTCGCTGTAACACATAGAGACCTGGTTAATGTTTGGCAGTTGTACCAGATGTTTCCTGGTTTCATGCAAAAGATTCAAGACATAGCGAGCATGGAGATGCTACTAGGAGGAAGAGGAGGGAGGGAACAAAACAACACTGATATTCATGAGAGAAGATGGCTCCACCTTTACAGCTAATGACCCCAATCACCCAAGACCCCACAAATGACCTTAGTAAACTGCCCCTGGGACCCTATGCACAGATCCTTTCTTTCACCCATCTTCTATCCTTGTTTCCACTTTTCACTGTCCCCCATATATTGGACTGATTTCCTCTTTCCTATCTACTCTATGAAAGCCTCCCTTGCCTTTAGCTGGGGAGAAACACGATTGTCTCAGCAAAGCATGAATAAATGCATGCATGTTGATGGTACTGAGTGATCCTGATGTTACTGGGAAAATCATCCCAACTCCTCCTGCAGTGAACCATATTCATATGAAAGAGGGGAAGGATTGGGACCCAGCATAGAGCCAGAATCTGACCACTTCTCCCCACCTCTGCCTCTACTACCAGGGTTTCAAGCCACTATCCCTGTTTCCTGGACTATTGCAGTAGTCTCTTGACTGGTCTCCCTGCTTCAGCCCTTGCTCTCTACATTCTATTCAGCAAACATAATAATTATTTTAAAAAGCAAGTCATATGATATTCCTGTGCTCAGTGTCTCCCCGTCTCCTCTCTGCCTCCACCTCCTCATGCTCTCCCCGTTGCTCCCTCCTCTCCAGCCACAATAGCCTTCCTGAGGTCCCTGAGCAGCCCAGACATGGTCCTGCCCCAGGGCCTTTCCATTTGTTCCCTCTGCCTGGAATGCTTTTCCTCAGATGTCCACATGGCACCTTCCCTCACGACCGCTTTCAACCTTTGCTCCGAAATTGCCTTTTCAGTGACACCTTCCTAGATCACTAAAAAAAGTGCCATCTCTCTCACTAGAACTTATTCTTTTGCATAGCTCTTACCACCTTTTAATATACTACATAATTTACATATTTGTTATTTATTATTTCTTGTCTGTCTCCCCACTAGAATGTCAGCCCCATGAGGGTAAGGATTTGTGTTTGTCTTGCTCACAGCTGTATCCCCAGTGCCCAGAATGGTGTCCGCACATAGCAATGCTTAATAATTATCTGAGGGATGAATAAACAAAGAAATGACATTATTAGGAGGAGAAGTTCTCAGTGCATAAAAAGTGGCTGACTGACCACAGGTCCTAGCTAAGCAAAGGGGGAGTGGCATCTCTGTACAGAAGCCATGACAAGCACATCCTAAATCCAGGGCCATTCCGTCTGTGTTGGTCTGCTTTCCCTGTATGCGTGACATGGAGTTGGTAGTGACGCAGGTTCCCAGGTGAGCTTACTTGTTTCAGCCTGAAAGCTTCCACCAGGGCAGTTGCATGGTCAGGAAGGAGTGGGAAGGAGAGACGTGGCCCTGTGTAATTGTCTGGCACCTCTATGGATTCATAGTCACTGTATTTGTCCATATCAGAGTCCCGGGAGATGCGGTTCAGGAAGTCCCCTAGTCAGAATAAAAAAGGCGAGCCAGCTTATATCAGATGTGCAGCCCATGGGCAACACAGAATTCTTTCCCTGGACTGTACTTGAAATGGGATCTGATGTCGGCTCCAACACAGGAGAGGAGAAAGGAAAAGGGCAAATGACAACAGAGTAGGATGGGCTGGGGGGAAAGGCTATGTTCTTATGTCAATTCTATTCTACTTGTATTTTAAAAGATTGAGATGTGTCCGACTTAGAAAGTGATGAAAATTTAGGAGCCTCGGTTTGTAAGAACGCAAGGGAAAAGCTGTGGTGGGGGAAATCTTCACAGGCATTTATTTGTGGTATAGTTAGCGAATGTGGCAGAGGCCGTAGACTTTTCGGTGCCCTTCAGGCAATTTCCAACTGGCTGCCCCTGCATCTCTAGCCTGAGGGCTTTCTTTCCTGGATCCACAGAGAGCCCAGCTTGGCAGGCCCGAAATGCTGTGGAATTAACAACCCTACCTGTCCGCCCCTCAGCAGCCTTCACCCAGTGACTCTCAGGAGCTGCCATAAATACTCCAGTTCCCTCCGCCTGCAGGAGGGATCATGCCGAGGGGCGTGCTTTGCACTATTTCTCAGGCAGGTGGACTTGCTGGCTTAGTAGCCCACCCTTTCTTGGCTGCCTTCCCTTTCCTGAATCCCTTCCCACTCCCTCCTCGCCCCCCCACCCCGTTTCCTGTATTTAACAAATAAACTGGTGCTCAAACTCTTGTCTCCAGGCGTGCTTCGAGGAGAACCCAGAACACAAGTCCCCTTTGACATGTATTTGTCATCCCCCTTGCTCATTCCTGGCTGCTACAAGATTCACGTTTCACGCCCATCTCACCCCCAGATCTATGACCCTCAGACAGGAGGACATACCATGTGGCAGTTCATACTCACTCTCGCTGTGACTGCTGGGGGTGAAGTGATCCACAAGGTAGCTGAAGAAATCGTGGAGCTACGGAAGAACCCAAGAAGATGAGGCTATAGAGGTGAGTGAGAAGAGAACCCAGGAGTGGTCCAGATCAGCTGCTCCTTCTGGGCACCTGGGCCTGGCTGTCCAGGGGCGGAAGGTGGAGCCGGAGGTAGCCCTGTCCCACATCCCACCGCACCTTGGCCTGGTCTTGCTGCCCAGCGTACTCTATAGACTGGAAGATGCTCCAGGTACATTGCCGCCTCGTCTCCAGGCGTGCCATGTGGCGCCGGTACCATCTCTGGATCAGGGCCGCTGCCTTGAAGGCTGTGACACAGACGGGGAAGCAAACGTGTGAGCCGGGGCTGCCTCAGCCTTGGGGGAGGTCAGGGGCGCTTCTCCCACTTTAATGTGGGGACAAGATGGTGGGGAAATTACTACCCGTTGCTGCCGGTAGGAAGGATTTTCCTTCTCGCTGGCAGGGGTGTTCTTTCCCCTATTCCTGCCCCCCACGCCATCTGCATTCTTACCTGCTGGTTATACTAATATTGGAGGCTTACCGGAATTCCCACTTTTGATGAAAACATTTATATGTGAAGCAATGGAAAGGCTGGACTGCTGGGATTCTGAAAAGGGTATGAAAACTGGAGCGATTACAAGGATGGGGCATTTTTAAAGAGTGGGATGATTCAGGGGCCTGAGGGGTGGGGAGGGTATTTTCATATTGAAACCATAAACTGGATGTCAGGAGACCTGAATTCTGAGCCTAGAACTACCTTGACCAGCTATGTGGCCTCAGGCAAGTCACCTTCCTGGGCCTCACTGTCCTCATCTGGGAAAGGAGATAAACCAGATAATGACTGGGGAAAACAAACAACAAACAAACACACAAATTACTACAGACTATAAAGTCAGGCTATAAGTCCTTGTAGGGTCCTGTGCTGGCTATCCCCATATTCTGACACCCCTGAAGGCTTTAAGTGACACTGTCCCAATATTTCCATGACTGTGGTATCGAATCCACAAGCAGCCTTTGGGCATCTCCTCTTGCCAGGATCTGTGCTAGGTGGCCGTGTACCACAAGATGGCGTAAGTTTAACTCCTCATACGGGCTTTAGAACCTGTGATCAAGTACTGCTGCCAGAGAGCAGGACAGCTGTCCACATAAACAACTAGATTCTTCTTAAGCTCCAAGGCCTGGAAGTGCCACCAATGATGAATGGAGTATTTGTAGATAAAGCTGGATTACAAAGGAAAGCCTGTAGGTTCACTCAGGTCAACTTCGTGAACAGCAGACAGATTGATTTAATATATTTAGCTTGCATTAGAGAGCTGACAGAATTCTTGCTGATTTCCCTAAGAGGAAAGACAGTAGAAGAGTGGGAAAAGAGAACCTGGGAGAAATTTAAGCAAACCTGAATTTGATTTTCTATGAGAAAAATAATGCCATACTGTATTTCCTAAAGGCACTTACTAAATGCTAAGGGATGCGACTGACACTCTACCAATTGAATTCTGTAAATCCATGTTCAGAATAATGAATGAAATGCCCAGAGTAAATGCTACAGACTCTCTAGGAACTCATGGAAAACACACAGATACCTGGACCTCGCCCTAGGCGTACAGCATCAGAATCTCTACAGGGAACCCAGAAATCCCCAGGTTTAACAAGCTCCACACATGATTTTTACTTGTGCCGAAGTGTAAGCAACATCGAGGACGATCATGGCCATCAAGGTTCCGTGGAAATGTTTGCTGACACCTTGCCTCACACATTTTAAGGCAAGTGCTACCAGCTGAACATACTTATATCATCCGTCCTGCTTCAGCTGCTTCGGGGCAGGGGGAGTAGACAATGCCTCTCCTCTTTTTTTTCTTCCCTTCCACTCCTCTACCTGGGGTCTGCATTACCTTTCATTGAGATGGGCACTGGGAGGTGCAGGATAGTTCTATTCCTCTATCCCATCCTCCCTTCCCAGCAGCACAATACAACACACTTGACCTCCTGGTGCTCCTTGCTCCTTTAAATCCTAGAGTGCCAGTTACAAATACACCTGGCTATTAAAACCCTGAAATAAGAACAAGGCAGCCATGTGTGGAGAGAGAGGCCAAGGGCCACCAAGACACCAGATACTGAGTGAAGAGCTGTCTCAGAAGTAGAGCATCCAGTTCCAACTGCCCTGAGGATTAGAGACAGACCACTGGCTGGGCCCTTAGCAAAGTCCTGACCCACAAAAGCATGAACAGAATAAAATGGCTGTCTTAAGCCACTAAGTAGGGGGATAGTTTGTTAAGCAGCAATAGATAACCGGAACAGAAATTGTACAAATATTTTACAAGAGTAGAAAGCCAATTTAAATTTTAAAATTAAAAAGAAAATGAGTCTCTAAAAATCAAAAGCAAAAGTTAAACTGAATCTAACCATGTATATAACCTGGTGACATCACTGCACAAAAAAGAGTTATTTCAAATGACTTGAAAGTTCAGTAATGTGTACATCCCTAGTGGATATACCCAAAAAACAAAAGAACTACAAAAAAATCTAAGAGTTTTCAGTAATCATATTGTCTATAACAGTATTATTATTATGAAAACATTATTTATATATAACAGGATACAGTAAATAATACTATATTAATGTCATTAGAGAAAAATATTAATAGATTAATTAGAGAAAAAGAATAATATCAATGTTTTAAGTAAAAGCATTGTGATCCTAAATGCAAATTGATCATGATGATTTTTTTAAAAAATAATACATATTTTCTGGATCTGTTCACTAAAATGATGTAGAAAACAATAACCAACCTGGTAGCAATGAACACTCCACACCCTGGAGAAATACCTATTCCTGGCCTGGGGCCAAAAATGTGCAAGATGAGTCTGGGGTATGTTGCCAAACTAGAAAGCAAGGAAGCCACAAGCTTACGGAGATGCGTGGGCCCGTATAAACAAGGTACTGTCACCATTTCCCTTGCTTCCTCCCACATCTCTAGCTGACTCTCCTTGGCCTCCTTTGCTGGCTCATCCTCTTCAACCTGATGCTTAAGTATTGGAGTTCCTCATGGCTCTGTTCTAGGCCGTGGTCTCTAATCTGGCTTTCCTTTCACTCTAAGCTACTTCAGTGACCCCCATGACCACCTACATTCTGATGTCTTCCAAGTGCAATATATCTCCAGTCCAACCTCTCTCCCAAATCCAGATTTGAATATGCAGCTGCCTACTCAGCACTTCCACCTGCATGTCTCATGGGCACTTTAAACCCAGCGAGTATATAAACTCATCTTCCTTCTAGTAAAACTTGGCTCTTCTCCATTATTTTTACATAAGTAATTGGAATTATCATCTGCCTACTTTTGCCGACCTGGAGGTCATGCTTGATGCATCCTTCTCCATTACCCCATACAATCTAATCGGTGGGTTCCTGTCAATCCCACCTCCTGAATATTGTTGGAATTCATCTTCTTCTCTCCACCTCTACTGCCACCAACTCTGGACCAAGACATCATCATCTCTTGCTTAGATGACTTTGGTAACTTCTAAACTGTTCTTCCTTATTCTACTCTTATCCACTCCAATCCTTTCTTCACAGAAGCCAGAAGGGTCTTTTAAATACGTAAATATGTAAATCTTTTAATATGTAAATCTTATTATGGAACTTCTCTTTTGAATTCTTCATTGGTTCCTCATGCCTGTAGGATAAAGTTTAAAATCCTATAAGACCCTGAGTGATCTGGGCTCAGCAGCTTCATGCCATGCCACCCGCCATCTCACTCACTTTGGACCATTCAGTTCCTTGAATAAGCCTCGCCTCTTCCTACTTCATGACCTTCATACATGCTGAATCCTCTGTGTGGAAGGTTCTTTCATCCCCTTTTTGCCCAACCTATTTCACTCACTTGTATATGTGTAGTTTGGGATAAACTGCAGTGCACAGCCAGGCTCCTTGAGTAAATTTTAATTCCGTCAAATATATCTCACCAAGATCTAAGATATTCTGCTGGATATTTTGCTGCTCATGTTACAAGGAGAAGAAGCTGATTCAAGAGTTGTCTGAGGAGAAATATAATGGTTTCCTGCTTGTATCCTGAGAAGACCCTCAGGATATGCAAAATGAGCTTTGGGGTACCCAAAGCTAGTGTGGCAGGTGGAAAACACATACCTTTCTCTGCATTCTGGAAAGCAAACTGATGGTGGGTTGAGGTGCCACTTCCCATGGTTGTAGGTACAGTGTTTCTTCAGGACAGATAGTAGGCCCAAAAGAATGTGAATTGTTTGCTGACAAAAGGAAGGGGAAATCTGCAATAGAGAGATTCAGGCAGAGTATTAGGTCAGGTGGGCCAAATTATCTATGAACCTTGTCTTCCACATTATAAAAAAAATGTGAGGGGCCGGCTGAGTGGCACGTTGGTTAAGAGCTGGCTTGGGACGCCAGAGGGCCCTGGTTTGGCTCCCACATATGAGGGCCAATGACACTGCCCTCTACAGCTAAGATGCTGAACAGCAGCTCAACCTGGAGCTGGGCTGCCGTGAGTCGCCAGCGTGGGGTAGGCTGCAGTCCCCTGCTGCAGTGGGTTGCCATGGGCTACTGTGTGTAACCAGCAGCCAGCGTGAGTGGCCAGCAGCCGCAGTGAGCGGCCGTCCAGAAGCCGGTGACTGGTCTGCCTCGCCCGGGAAGAGCGCAATGATGGTGCCAACTTGAGCCAGTGAAGCAACGTTCTCCACAACTAGACTGAAGAACAAAAGGACAGCAACTCATCTGTTCCCCTTTCCCTAATTCCCCAAAAAAATCTTTTAAAAAAAAAATGTGAGCCTGTCATGTGAGAGCAACCTTCCCCCACCTTTCCAGTCTCAGTGCATAAGATCTTCCTCCCCTGAAAATTCCCTCCATTTGTCATCATATATCTTTCCTATGTTTTCAATCTTTCTACTAGCTTTTCCTTTACATTCTAGAAATATACTGAAGTCTCTTATCAAAGCAATTCTTCATCATCATCATCATCATCATCATCGATTGACTTCCTATATTCCTTTAGCTATAACCCAACCTCTCTTTTCTTCTCATCCAGTTTCCTCTCAAGAGTAGACTACATATGTTCTCCTTAATTCCTCTTAAGATCATTTTTTACATTCTCACTGTTAATCAGAACTTTTCATGCTGATGACTCCAATGCCTTCTTCATCTTTTCAGTCCTTACCTTCCCAGAACATTAAGGCCATCATCTGCCTCCATAAGTCACACCTTGATTATAATTCTACTCCTTGGGCTTCCATAAAGTCAGACTCCCTTGTATTTATTCCTGCCTCTCTACTCACACTCTCTCCTTCTTGAGCTCATTTTTCTCTGTCTAGCCCTTAAATGTCGATTTTTATTTGATTTCTAGTCTCAAATGTCAGCTCTCTTCACTCTGCACATCCTCCCTGGATGATTTAATCAACTCTCACGTTTTCAACTATCACTTCCCACCACTCAACTCTACACCTTCATCTAAGGCCATCCCTGAACATCAGCCTCATATACCCAGCTTCCTGCTATACTTTCACTGGAATGCCACAGACTCCAAGTATCACAAATAGAGCTCATCCTCTCAAAAGCATACGTTTCCATCCTCACCTCTCTTCTCTCCTTTCTTCAAACTCGGCTCTTTGACCACCATGGCTTTTGTGTTTTTCCTCTTACCTCAAATGTTCTTCCTACCCCACTCCTCTTAACTTGAATAACTTTACTCATTCCTTAAGGCTAACATTAGTCATCACCTTCCTTAAGGAAGCTAGTTTGACATGCTTCTCCTCTGAGCTCCTGAATATCTTTTTCACATCTCTATTACTATTAGAGTTTTCTACTTTGTGTCTCTCTACCACTGGACTGTGAGTTCCTTGAGAGGAAAGACTTTGTGTGAGCAAATTCATCATTTTTATTTCCAGGACTTAGCATGGTACCTGACACATAGTAGGAAATTCAATAAATATTAATTGAATAAACTTTATGCTGTATTTAGTTTTACACAACAAACGAAAATCTTCCTCTAACTCTCAGGAAATAACATGAGATTACTGACAATGTTGAGAGTGGATTCCATATTTTCCCCCTCCTTCACTTCTACACCACTCTCTTTCCTCTATTTTTGACAATTGGGGATTGTGAACAACTTGTTATCTTTTCCATTGCAAATCAAAATGAAAAGCTCACCTTACTTATGTTGGTTGGCTTTTAAAAACATAAACAGTCAAAGAAAAGAAGACTATAATGTTTCTGTGTTTGTGTGTGTGTGAGTGTGTGTGTGAGCAAAATGGTTCCCAAATGTTAAGAGATGTCATGTAATCAGAATCTGAGCATGAGGTAAAGTAAGAAGCCATCATGAACAAATAAAAAAAAAACTCCCACACAATTTTAGAGCTGGAAGGAACATCAGCAATGATTAAGTCCACCAATGACTCACAGCTTGCTTTGATAATTAGTAACTTACCTATACAGCCATGTTGTATTTTAAAGCGTTTGGGTTTGGAAGTACACAGATGGGGGTGAAGAATTTCAGGTCAGCTTCTCACTAGATCTTGGCCATTTAACCTCTCATAGATTCAGTTTTCTCATCTATATACCACTGAGAATAATAAACAATATATTTGCAGTACGCTCAATATATGTTGATGGACTGAATCTGATATCATATTTATTTTAAAATATCAACAACCAAAAACATGTCCTGGCTCAAATTTAGAAGGTAGTTAAAGACATATTATCTCAATGCAGCAGTGTTATACACTGAGTGTATCCCCCCAAGACTCACATGTTTATGTCCTAACCTCCAATATGATGGTATTTGGAGGCAGGGCCTAGGGAGGTAATTAGGTTTAGATGAGGTCATGAAGATGGAGCCCCATGATGGGATTAGCTTCCTTATAAGAAGAGGAAGAG